GGCATTTAAGAAACGTTTCATGAAATTGACAGCCGATGCGGAAAATAATCCATGTAAGTATATTGGGGTTTAAAGTATATTGTGGATCCATCAGCAGCTTGACATCATAGCTTGAAATATTTATGTCAAATTATAAGAAAACACGACGGCAGGAAACGAATGCGGCTCTGACATTCCTTTATGATGTGTCACAATACAATACACCCTCCAGAATATTTTCGCGAGAGCGACCATCGGCTGTTATGGCGGCACACACCATCACCATGGCCGGCGCTTGAGTTCTGGTGGCCAACCGAAGGTGCACATTTTCAGCTGACCTCTTTGGCAAATAAACACGATCATTTTGTTTGTTTAAAAACTGCTGGAGAACGAATGTTTTCTTATTGGAGAAAACAAACAAATTCGGCAGTTCACCACTTTCGGCCAAGCGAAGCAAATCTTTAGCTCTTTTGAGTCTATTTTCTTTCTGTTGTGGTGTAAGTTCTTGCACTTTTTGAAATTTCAATGGCTTTACCCCGAGCTCATTTTTCCATTGCCATATGGCTCACGAGCCATTTTTCGTCGTTTCTTTACTTTTCGAACTATTTGTGCTGACGCTTGAATTCCATCCATCCAGCTGCCACTGGAATAATTGTAACAACTGTCGGACGAGTGGCTTATAAGTGACAGCGGTCTGAAGTTGGTTGCAATTTTTTCATCTCTCCCTATATCCCATTGAACTGGATTTAATATATCTAGTGGGTTAATCACGCTTAAGTTTCAGTCAGATGATATGTTATTTACATATGTAATATCAAATTTTCCATATCTAGAAATTGCACACATTGTGTAACACATGGACGATATTTCAGTTGTAAAATACATGAGCAAAATACATACGTACTTCTTCGATCACAGCTAACACTATTTTCATCACAAAAATATTTAATCAAATGAGAATATTCTCCGCAAGGAAAGTAATAATTTTCCAATGTATTATAAATTATCTTTTTTTGTTAATGTTCGCTTTTCCCATGACCTTTGTTACTTTGGACTGTACCACAGAACCAATGTAAAAACCCAGTGATGCTTTCAGTTAGTGTGTAGATTTGACACGAGATCCATGGTACAATGATTTCCCAAGCAGGACATAGAAATCATAATCATGGTCCAAATATAAGGTCCCCCTGCCAAGCCAGCTGACTACCAAATGTTATGTCAAAATACATTATTCACAGAACAAAATATAAACAAATAGCCAAAAATTGTAAAAAAAAATTGACATCTCATCTAGTTTTTAAAATTTGAAGGAACAGCTTGTTTTTGCGCCATGGAATAGATTTTTTTCTTAAGGTAAAGGTAAAAATCCATTGCATATTCTAAAATTAGAAATGGGAACCTGTTTTTAAATTAGTTAAATTTGACATGGTAGGTTACAGAAAGATTCAAAGGGTTTTATTTAAATGTACCATGGTAAAACATGTATTCAGTTTGTTTATACAAAACAAAATAGTTTTGAAAAATTTTCATTTTTACAGCTTTTGGGGAGAATAAATTTGTGCGTATTGATATAAAAACATTGTGATCATATTAGGAACTCGATATTGTAATGAACCGGATCGTACAAAATATTTTTCGAGTCTTTCTTAAATTTAAATATTGCGTGTCAAATCAACAAAACAACTACTTGCATTTGTTTTTAGTATGGTAGAATAAGTAGGTAGAAAAGCTTCTACTACTACAGAAATACAGCCCTGGGATTATGCCCGCTTTGTGTCAAAATTATTAAAAATTATAGGCAAAAATTGTTCTTAATTTCTAAAATGAGTTAAAAGTTCGAAAAATAAATGCAATATCCTGATTTTTTTTTTCAAAAATATGATTAAAACTCCACGACAAAACTGATTAAAAATCCCCCACGCACGTTTCTTCCAAGCATTAATATTTTGTTTTTATTTTTCAAATTTAATATTTACAAAATTGGCAGAAAAAAATTGCAATAAGCTTATAACCTAATAACCATGGTTATTAGTAAAGGTGGGAATACATAAAGCGCTTATCTGACTGGCTTAAGTCATCGGCTGGCTTTTTCTTATTTGACTGGCTTAGTTTATCGGCTGGCTTCTTCGGAACAAAGGAGCCTAGGGCCAAAACCGAACTAAGTCAACCTAAAACTCCTTTGTTCATCTACGAAGAATCCATTCGATGGCTTAAGGCAGCCAAATATGCCTTTAGTATATGTGTTTCCACCCTAAGTTTGAAGATATTTCAAAAGTCAGTTTCAAAGTAATTTCAGATAAACATATTTTCTGTAATTTACCTTGTCAAATTTCACTGAATATAAAAGAGGTTCCCATATCTGATTTCTGAGTATACAATGGATTTACAATTATAAATTTTGACAATGAGATGTTGTCAAACAAAAAATTTTGAAAAAATTTTGAATATATAATTGCATGAGTTTACCTTCTTAATTCTACTATGCAACCTGCTGTACCGTATAATGATTGTACCATGAGAAGATCTACTTTTGTATGGAAAATCAAGTTGAATAAATCTGGATAAGCAATAAATTCTATGAGCTAATCTGAATAAAATATTGTATCTAAACGCGCCATGACATTGGAAACCAAATCGAAAAATAAAGTATCATATTCTATGGTCGTGGAATAATCCTTTTTTATATACTTATTACAGCAACGCCTATTTTAACGAGACGACTGACTATGCGTGCCGAAACCATAAGAGCATTGGAGGTTCGAAAAAATTCTGTTATGGCTGAGAGAAGAAAGTCCGCTATGCAAACTTTGGGAGCCAAAAATGAGTATGGTATAACCACAGCAGCAACGGTACGTAAAAAAATTCAGGCATCAAATGAGAACTTCTAACAAATGACGCTTTCATTTTCAGCTGAATAATAACGGTGGCGTTCCAACGCGAAGCGGGCGAGTTTCCAATGCAGGCATTAGTATTAAGGATGTCTTTAATGTTAATGGTGGACCAGGAGAGGTAAGTTCAATATCCTATAAAACTTAAAATTATAGAAAAGTGGAAACGTTGATTCTGTTTTGGGCTTTACGTCTAGATATACAGGGTGAGATAGATAGTCTATTTTCTTTCCATTGAGATGTAAGTTCTTGCACTTTTTGGAATTTCAATGGCTTTACCCCGAGCTCATTTTTCAATATTTGCCGAATGGAATATTGCGATATGTTCAGCTTACGAGCCTTTTTTCGGCAACTGCAACACGTGTTTCGATCAAGTCGCTTCTTTTCTTTTCGAACCATTTCTGCTGATGTTGCTGTTTTCTTCCGTCCACTTTCTTGACGTAGGGCTACGCTACTAGTATCACAATAACGAGCGATGGTACGAGACACAATAGATTTATTCACATTTAAATGCTGGAGTGCTCTAACGATAGCCACTTGTCGTTTTCCAGCCAAATATAAAGAAATCACACTATCACGTTTGAATTCCATCAGGAATAACTTTTTTTCTGAAAAATTCTCACCAAAATGCTTTTGTAAGCTTGTAAACAATATAACGAGCTATCACTGGAACAATTTTAACAGCTGTCGGACGAGTGGCTTAGAAATGACAGCAGTCTGAAGTTGGTTGCATTTTTTTCATCTCACCCTATATTTTTGAATTGTCAATCTCAATGCAAACCTATATAACAACGGCCCGCACGTTGATTCTGTTTTGAGCTTTGAGAAATATTTGCACTGTTCCAGAACTGTAAGAATGCAAAAATATTGTACTACGATGACCGATTTTTCCTTTATGATATATTGCAAAACTAGTAAATTCTTGTAGGTCCTGGAACAGAACAATTGTTTACAGATTCAAGCCTAAACCACAGTAAATAATTTCCTTCAATATCAAACATAAATTCCAACAATATATTTTTGCTCATATCATCTTCTTCTTTTTTAACTATTTTCAGCAAATCTATGGATCCAACGGTGGTGGCACCATAAACCAGGGATACGAACATGTAACCGAAGAAGATGAAGTCAATTCACTGAGACTAACGACCAGAAATCCACCACAAGTTACATGGGGTACTAACAGCAATAATACCGGACGTCTGTAAATGCATTTTCTGTTTGTATTTAACGGCGTAACTATCTTCCATTACATAATTTATATTAATTAATTAGTTGTTTTTTTTTACAAATTGCCTATGTTATTTGATAGACTATTTTAAGTTTTATGTCACAATCTCAGCTCCGAGTGAATTGTATTGATTGATGATTGTCTTCCAATAACGCATCTAACTTCACAATTTCCGTTCTACTTTCAAAGCACAGACTCAATTGATATTTACTGCCTTAATATACAATGATACAATTATTTTTTTTTCTCAATTTTTATTCTATCTCCCACATAATTGTATATAAATTAATTAAAGAGTTAATTATAAAATTTTTATAGATATATACATATTTACATTAGAATACAACGAATTACTTCAATGGTCGCATTTTTTGGGCCATTGAAAGGTCATATCAGTTAAGCTAAACACACTGCCGTTCCCCAATTCCCCTTAACGTCGTAAATGTGGATTTTGTCGAGATACTTGGACTCAATATTCGTAAATCTCGCAAAAAACACATTTCCAATTTAGATTAGTAGATTGAACATGAAATTGTTGTTAATGTGCCCGAATAAGACAACAATACCAGTGTATGATCCTTAAATAAAATACTCATTTAATGTCAATTAACTCAACAAATGGAATATTGTTAAAAGAAATGCATATAAATTATTTAGCAATAGTAAATTGTACATTTGAAGAAAAAAACTCCTGCAAAGGTGTGCATGTGCGTAATCATCATTCATACATACATACATTTGTAAATAAATATAAATATATTTTTAGAATATTTGGAATAAAATAAAATTTACAAAAACCTAAATTGATGTTTTTTTAGTTTTAGTGGATGGAATTTTATACAGTCTTATAGAGCGTTAAAATATAATATTTTAATTAAATATAATATTTTAATAAAATTATGCAAATTCCCCAACATGGATACACCCATGATAGAAGAATATAAGTAGTCGCATAATATAAATAAATTTTGGAATTGAAAATTTTGAATCAAAATTTATTTAAATTTGTAAAAATTGTTGAAAAACGTGAACCTCCGAACGACGTCGTACAAGAAAATATATAAAAATCTACTGATATTTGAAAGAACATTTAAAAATTATTGACATATCAATGTTCTTAAGCGTTGATGCATCTACCTGTATTCTTCTATGGATACACCATTAGGAGCGTATAAAGGTGAGAATACATAAAACGGTTTTTTGTCTGGCTTAAGTCAATCTTAGTGGAGGAACAAAGGAGTTTTAGTTTGACTAAGTTCGATTTTGGACCTAGGTTTCATGTTCTCTTCCGAAGACGCCAGCCGACGACTTAAGCCAGTGAAAAAAGCGCTTTATGTATTCTCACCTTAAATGCCTCTCAGCTGACACAAGCAAAAGAGAGGAATATCAAAATAAAGATTTATCAAGAAACCTAATATAGAGACGATTGATCTCAGAAAGTAACTGTTTATTGATATTTGTTTAATATTTTATCATGAACTATTCAATGTTTAGGTTTTTGTTATACCTGTTTCCTTTGCAGAAACATTTGCCACTCTGGAGCGTATGGCAAGATTAAGGGTGGAAATACATAATACATAAGTCGTCGGCTGACTTCTTCGTAGATGAACAAAGGAGTTTTAGGTTGACTTAGATCGATTTTGGCCCTAGGCTCCTTTGTTCTTTTCCGAAGAAGTCAGCCGACAACTTCAGCCAGTCAAAAAAGCGTTTTATGTACCTTAATGCTGTATCATAACAAAATGATACAAGTAGACGCATCAACACAGCTGGAATTAAAAATGTTTAATTAGAAATTATTTAAATTAATGAAATTTCATGAAAATCGCATATCTTACCAACCTCTGAACGGCATCGTATAAGAAAATATTTTAAAATCCATTTTTATTTTGGCAGATATTTTTAAATATTTTTGACATATCAATGTTCGCGAGTATTGATGCATTTGCCTGTATTCTTCTACAATTTTCTGTAATAATAGGTGTATCTGGTTAATCTAACATTTTGTAATAATTGTTGCAAATTGTTACTGGATGTCGTCTATTAACACGAAGATTCTGCAAAAGAGATTTGAGAGAACAATTTCTTTCTTCTTCAGTCGCTTGCAAATCTTTTTCTTCTCCTTCCGGCGAATTATATTTGGACAAGCAAATTACAGACCAGACATTTTATATTGGAAATCGCAAGCGTAATTGTTTTGTTTTTTCGCCACAATTTTAATTCCTGCATTGTTTATCTCTGTTTATAACGCACAATTTTTTTTGTTTTGACAAACCAGCTGATTGCTAGCAAATTTACAGGGATTCTCTCTGTTTACTGTTCACAGTTTTCTTACAAAAAGGAATACAACGAACATGGTAGAATTAAGGAGGTAAAGTCATGCAATCATATGTTTACATTTTTTTCCAAAATTATTCATTTGACAACATCTTATTGCCAAAAATTTGTATTCATAAATCCATTGTACAAATCAGAGAACCTGGGAATGGCAACCTGTTTTATGTAGAGAAATGTGACAAGGTAAGTTACAGAAAATGCAGAGATGGGTATGCTTATTTGAAATGACTTTACCTTCTTAATTTTACCATTGGTAGAATGAAGAAGGTAATGTCGTGCTATCATATGTTTTCAATTTTTTCAAACTTATTCATTTGACAACATCTCAGTGTCAAAATAATACTTGTAAATCCATTATACATACAGGAATCAAGATGAGAACCTGTTCTCTATGCAGTTAAATTTGACAAGTTAAATTACAGAAAATACTGAGATGGATATGCTTACTTGAAATGACTTTAATCATATGTTTACAATTTTTTTCAAATTTCTACATTTGTCAACACCTCATTGTCAAAATTTATATTCATAAATCCATTGTATACACACAAAATCAGAGATGGTGCAAGTGCAGATCTGGGAGTGAAATGAGGTTACCTTTATTTCATTGCACCATGTCTTATTCTTTCAGTAAAAAGTTGCAAATTTAGGCATATTGGCAGATCTATTTCGTAAGTGAAACATATTGGTGAAAGTGTTCTATAGCTGTAGTTAAAGTTGTTCTATATTTGATGATATAAGGATTTTTTTAAGGGATTCGTTTAAAATTTAGAATTTATTGTTTGCAATGGGTTCTATATGCGTGGCAGGGCAGGGTATATAGTGACTCGTGTCTTCCTAAAGCCCCCATATAACGGTACCTCCAGATATTCGTTAGTTTTACGATTTAAATCATACTTTCAATTCCATATTTATTGTTTACTGTGGGATCTACATCTAGTGGCAGAACTTTGTCTATATACGTCCACGTTATCCTATAGCACCCATATAATCTTACCTATAGTTTAGCGTATAGCTTGTCTTAAGCTTGAACATATAAAAATAGTAGTTTTAAACCCTTTATCCTAAGGAAACATTCTTGGTGCTTATTTTACATTTTTTTTATTTTAAATCTGTCTTTAAGGACCAAAACCCCAAAATAACCGACCGAAAATTGTTCACAATGCGTATTTTATAAAAAAAGACATCTTACGCTGACAATTTTATGCAATTAAATTAAGGCCAATTAGACTGAAAATTCGGATTTTAGCCAATTAATTTTGCAAAATAATACTTTGAAACAAAACAGTCATTCCATAATCAAGCCTTACATGACTTATGAGACTAATATTTTAGTTTTTATCATGGCATAATTACAGTCATGTTTGTAATATTCTTCCTTGAATTTGGCATATGATAACAAATATATCTAAATTTCTCTCCAGCTGTACGCTCATATATAAGGAAGAACTACAAAGTCAAAATTTGAAAATCAAAACGTGTGTAGATTAGAAAATATGTAATCGTATGATTGCATGAGATTACCTTGGTAGTTGTGCCCCATGGTTGTGCCGTTTTTCTTTCGTTTCTTCTGTAAATCCTTTTGTCCAGTCGTTATTTTGGTTTAGATTTTCATCCTTACTCTATTTCTTTTACCTTTGTGTAATGTGTTTCAAATCGCATTCTTATTTAAGCTTGTCACAAAAACAATGGATTTTATTAAAAAAAAAATGGAAATGGTAAAGAAAAAACGGTTTTCTGAACTAAATAAAATTGAGCCGCCACTTGACAAGCATTTCTGTGCGCCGTCGACAAAATCGTTCAGCCTCGTTGTTTGTTCGTCGCTTCCAGCTGGTAGCGTTTCGCCCTGTCTCATTCGTAAACAACATAGATTCCAGGCATTTTTGCATTACACTCGTTCGTAAACAACACAGTCTCTATTTTACTCCTTTTTACGTTTATTTTTTATCGGGCATTATGTTTTGCTTCTTATTTGTTTCGTTCGGGACGTGTTTTGTTTCAGTTGCAGCTAAATCCAAGTAGATCTGTGACTCAAGCACCACTGACTGCACTTCATTTGCATTTAATGTCGATAAGCATTTCCATTCACTGTGCCTTCTTGTGATACGATCTGTGCTCTGCTCACTTCGTCGTATACTTACCTGACCGACACAACAACAAATGTAAAACTACTCCCTCAACTAAGATGCCTTTATCGAAATGCTTTCCTTGTCTGCAGTTCAAGAACGAGGAAGTTGTTAGCAAACTCGACTACAGTAATACAGTACTCACCGATGTGTTCCCACTGGTTTGGCAGCATGAGAGAACTTTGGAAGAACTTTACTTGACATCGACCCGAATTAATAATCTACCACCACAGCTCTTCTACTGCCAGGGTCTGAAGATTCTCCATGCCAACAATAACAATCTCGAGACAATTCCGGAAGCGGTGGGCACGTTGCGTCAGTTGCAGCAGCTGAATTTGAATCGCAACTATATTTCCAATGTACCCGACAGTATTAAGTCTTGTAAGAATCTAACGCACCTGGATCTTAGCTGCAATACCCTGCAACGGCTGCCGGATGCCATTACATCACTTATATCGCTGCAGGAGTTGTTGCTGAATGAAACCTACATGGAGTTTCTCCCGGCGAATTTTGGGCGGTTGGTTAATCTGCGCATTGTTGAACTGCGTCTCAATAACCTGGTATCTCTGCCAAAGTCGATGCAGCGTCTAACAAATTTGCAACGCCTGGACATAGGAGGTAACGAATTTACAAAAATGCCTGATGTTGTCTTTGAACTGAAGCAACTGCGCGAATTCTGGTTCGATTTCAACCAAATACGCGAAATTCCACCAATGGCTGGTAAGTTACGCGAACTACAGCATTTCGAGGCTAATGGAAACTTTATTAGTTCGCTGCCAAACGAAATAAGTAACTGGCACAACTTGGAGGTGATCTCGATCTCTACAAATGACTTAACCACATTCCCCTTTAGCATAGGCATGCTAAAATCTCTGGTTACATTCAAGTGCGAGTCGAATGAACTCACAGAACTGCCCGATAGCATTTCAAACTTAGAGAATCTGGAAGAGCTTGTGATAAGCCATAACAAGGTGAAACGTTTGCCTACCACTATAGGCCTGCTACGAAAACTGAGATATCTGTTTGCCGACGACAATGACCTACGTCAACTGCCCGATGAAATCTGTTCTTGCAGCAACCTCAGCGTTCTGAGTGTAAGTCGAAACAAAATCGCCGAATTGCCCAGCAATATTGGACACCTCCGTCAGCTCAAAGTTCTGAACATTGTCCAAAATCATATAGCCACATTACCTGTGTCGGTATTTAGTTTAGTTAATTTGACATCTCTGTGGATAAGCAATAACCAGGCTCAGCCATTGGTGCCACTGCAATATGTCGACGCCACAAAGAAAACACATTTAACATGCTTCATGTTGCCTCAACTGGGCTCTAAGCAAAATACAGGCAGCAAAGAGAATGAATCTGATGATCAGGTATACAATAGCATAAGACGCCAACCACACAGTGCTGCGGCGGTTCCAAATAACTGTGTAAGTCCGACGCGCCGCATTTGCTTCGCCGAGGAAACCACAATACTCAATACCAATAAAAATTCACCTACAACAGGGACAACCACTGGAAAGACTAGCGAACCTGATGATATAGTAACTATGCCCCTGCCACAACAACCAACACCACCAACTACGACAGCTTCTTCAACGTCTTACGTTATGCCCTCCAATGCCTATGGTGGTACAAGCCAGATACGAGATAATGTTCATTTTGTACCTGCAGCACAAGCTAAAGACTTCCTTATGCGTTCTCCAACACCGTATCCAAAAGAACTACGGCTTATGGCAAAATATTTACGTCGAAATCAGCATAAGCCATACGAAGAACAGCCGGGAGATAATGTAAATGAAGCCGTAAATAGTGCCGCAGGTAGTACTGGCCAACAGGAATTTGTTCAATTCATTCCTAGTAGTCAGTCGACGGCAACGTATGTAACAAATTATGCTTTGCATCATACTCCCAGGGAGGGTGGGGACCATATTATTCTACAAACGCATCCTTCATCAGTTCAATGGCAGCAACAACAACAGTTCCAGCAAATTAATGAAAACGCGCCAATACCGTCGCCAGGCATGACAATCATGCCAAATGGAAGCGTTTACTATGAACAGAATAGCCCAACAACGGCCTATCAGCAATATCATCAGCCACCATTACAGGAATACTACTACCAACCACAGGAACAACAAACTACATTGTCGCCATCGCACCAACAAGAACCAATATACTTCCATTCCAATATTATTACCCATCAAATGGGACAGCTGGCAATAGGAGCATCAAATGGCAATTTGCCTGATCCACCTCCTTATCACATTGCCAGAAGTTTCACCAAAAAGACCCCCGAAGACTTGACAAATTATGAGGTTATACGACAAAAACAACAGCAGTTGCAACAAAATCACCCCATGGAAAGCATTGAAGAACATTCTCACGAAGTCTACCAAATGATACAACCGTTGACGAACGTTGCGGACTATCAGAACAATTTTAAAACTTCACACATAACAAAACAAGATGATGTCGGTGTCTCAGTATCGTTCGATCAAAACCAATCCGTGGACAATAGCAAAGATGTAACTAAAACCGCATTTACCGACAATACTGTTACAAAGGAAAACAACAATCCTACAGACAATTCGCGCACAGCATCGCCCCTCTTGAACGCAACTCCAAATTCAACTAGACCCAATAGTAAAAGCAAAACCCCCTGGCTATTTGGAGTACATAAAAATCCCACTGTCAAACAAATCTCATTGAAATGGGAACATGAGCGTGGATTCCAAATAGACTCCTTGCCCAACAAAGAAGGCATCTATGTTGTCTCGACCACCCCAGATACGGATGCGTCGCGATTGCTGTGTCTCTACGACAAGCTATTAGATGTAGATGGATGTGATTTTACAACTATTAGTGTAAACGAAGCCCGCCAAGTATTAGATAACACTGGAAATGTAGTCAACATTATGCTTTCACGTAGATAAACTCATAGTCACTGAAAAGCACATCCCCTCTACTTTGGCGAACGATCCCAGTGCGAAGAGAGGAGTTTGAACCGAAGTCCTACAAAACGTAGTCGACGTCGGTACGGTATTGCAATAAAGGGATTGCCTAGAAATATGGGCATACCTTCCCATTTTAGAATCATGTGCAAAAATAAGTCTGAAACACTTAGTGTTACACCAACAAAATTACAAACAAAACATTGGATTACAGAAATACAAAATAATAATAATTTGTAACCTATTGAATTATAAATAACTCTTATGACCAAATTCATAGAAGACACTTTTTTCTTACCGACATCATTTTCCAACTTGGAAATACAACCCATTGCAGGAAAATGTTTTTCTTGGTTGAATCAAAAAATAGAAACCACTTTTGCCTGTTTAAATAAGAATAAGATGCCATTTTTGCAAAAACAAAAAGATAGAAATACACACATACTTACACAATAAATGAATTTTGTTAAAAACAAAAACCCTCTTTTCATAATTGATAAATAAATTATTATTGCTTGTACAAAAAGGGAGAGTTCGATAATCGTTTCATGGGAAAGTATTTTTTATGGTTTTTTTAAAATTACGCTGGTAGATTTAAAACTGAAGCAACGACTGCAAAAAAATTGTTTGATATCGAATGCGAGCTCTGCTCAAGAAAAAATATATTTTTCCAGTTAAATTTCTCTTTGCTTATTCAAATCAAGAATAAAACCTTGTTAAGTCATTATTTATACAAATATTTTTTATCCATTTGCTTTATAATTTATTATGGCAAACATGCAAGTTTAGAAACAATTAAATGGAATCGTAAAATATAAAGAGAAACAAAATTTTAATTTTCTCTTAAAAATCTTTTAGTGATACTCTACCAGTACTGTACACAATCTCTGTGTACTGTTTGTTTTCGAACGCTGTATTAGGGTCACCGCTGATTGGAGGAGATAAAATAGAAAAGTACTTTAGGAAATACTCACCACAAGTATGTAGTATACAGTAAATGCTCCTCAATTTGGTATTTGGTGAAGAGATAGTGCTTGTAATTAAAAATTTGACATTATTATGACTTACGATATTATTAATATCGTTCTCAAGTCATATTGTAGTTTCATTTTTTGTTGGTTGTTTGGGTAAATGAAATATAATAGAAAATACAGCATTATTTTTAATATCGTTAGTCATAATCATTTTTCAACAATGCCTTAAAACACTTATAATTCATGAAGATGTCTCAAGTCTGTGCTGAAGGTCCGATTACATATTATATTAGAGCCAAAAGTATCCCAAACAAGTAAAAAAGCAGCGAAGTTGGGCAGGGCCGAACTTTTAATACCCTCCACCATTTGGAAGGAACATGAACAATTTCAAAAAACTTCCGGAAACTACCACTTAAATGAAAACTGTTATATGGAGACTATACGAAGATGTGAACCTGCTTTCGAAATTTTTTGTCATAGGCTATAGTACCCATTACGAATTTTAAATACGAAATTTGAAATAATTCCGATAAATAATGTCGCTGAAATCATGAAAAAACCGAATAGCGGGACGTACCGTTATATGGGAGATATATACGAAAACGAGATCCTACATACGATTTTTTTTGTCATAAGCTGTAGTACCCATTACGAACTTTAAATACGAAATTTGTTACAATTCCTGTGAATAATGTCGCACAAATCATATAAATATGGAGTATTGGGAGGTACCGTCATATGGGGGCTATACGAAGTCGTGGACCTGCCTACGAAATTCTTTTCCATAGGTTTTAGTAACCATTAAGATCTCCCAATACGAAATTTTAAACGATTCCGGTGAATAATGTCGCTGCAATCATCAAAATACAGAATAACGGGAGCTACAGTTATATGGGGGCTTTACAAAGACTTGGTCCTGATTGCAAAAGTTTTTGTCATAGGCTGTAGTACCCATTTGAAATAAATCCGGTAATAATGTCGCTAAAATCAATAAAATACCGAATATCGGGAGGTATCGTTATATGGGGGCTATACGAAAACGTGGACCGACATTGCCCATTTACGAACTTAAATTGCCTAGTGGTAAACTATGCATGTATGCAAAATTTTAGCCTTCTATCTCAATTCGTTCCAAAGATATCGTGATTACAACGGACAGAGGGACGGACATAGCAAGATCGTCTTAGAATTTTACGCTGATTCAGAATATATATACTGTGTAGGGTGTATTATAAATATTTGGAGGAGTTACAAAACGGAATGACAATGACCATAGAATGGTAGAGGTTATAAAAATTTACTAGCTGTAGAACTGAACTAGCCGTAGAACTGTTGTTATTTTATTAACAAAATATGGCAACCCTGTAAATTGCCGAGTAAGATTGTTAATGCAAGCCGATTTACAGTTCAGTACATCACACAACGGTTCACAGCACAGATGGATGTGTAGACGGACAGTTAAACGGTTAATAATAAAATATTTGACTTGAGTGATGAAAAGTATATTTTACGGCAGATCAAAAACAATCCATTTTTTAGTGCACCGAAGCATGCAAAAATTGCTGAAATGGATTTGAGAAAAGTATGTTGCCCTCAAACAATAAGAAATATACTGCATAAGTCGAATTACAATGGAAAAAGAGCTAGACATAAACCTCTAATCTGCAAGCGAAATCAAGAAGTAAGGTTGCGATTTGCCAAGGAGCACATATCGAAAGATTTTTCATTTTGGAAGAATGTGCTGTTCACGGGTAAGAGCAAATTCAACCTTTTTGGTTCAGATGGCAGACCTTATATATGGAGAAAGGCAAATGAAGCGCTCCTTGTCAAAAATATGAAGCCTGCAGTGAAGCACGGTGGTGGGTCAGTAATGATGTGGAGTTCATTTTCAGCTTCTGGACCTGGTGTATTGCATTTTATTGAAAGTATTATGGATCAGACTATGTACCTTAAAAATTTGAATGAAAGTTTGCCACTCTGTAAGGAAAAGCTCGTCCTTGGCGAAGATTGTTATTTTTATCAAGACAATGATACGAAACACAAGGCTTATAATTGTCCCCACGTAATGAATACACCAGCCCAGACATAGACCCTATCATGGTACAATGATATCAAGGTAGGGCTATGATACCATATGATTTTAATTTTTTTATTTTCTTGGTTTAATATGTCATCTTTATTTGTTTATGTATTTGTTTTCTTTTCAATAACAAAAAAAATGTTCTGAAAATATTCAAATTCGGATGTTTTCAAAATGTTTATTTCAACGTATGCATCGAAAAAATCTAGAGTTTTTGTAGCGAAATAATCCTTTAGAGAGACAGTACAAGATTTTAAAAAGAAGTGTTGACCTTTCAATCTGTTATCGCGTTTTTCAATTATGTATTCAAAATAAATGCAACAAGTTGTTTGATTTTGTATTGTTTTGATACTAATTCTGACATTACAAGCCAAACAGGTAGATCTCTTTACTTGCAATTTTTTCAAAGTTGGCCTACCTCATGGTACAATGATATCAAGGTAGGGCTATGATACCATATGATTTCAATTTTTTTATTTTCTTGGCTTAATATGTCATCTTTATTTGTACATGTATGTGTTTTCTTTTCAATAACAAAAAATTGTTCAGAAAACATTCAAACTCGGATGTTTTCAAAATGTTTATTTCATCGTATGCATCGACAAAATCTAGAGTTTTTGTAGCGAAATAATCCTTTAGAGATATATAGAACCTGGTTTTAAAAAGAAGTGTTGACCTTTCATTCAGTTTTCGCGGTTTTTAATTATTTATTCAAAATACATGCAACAAGTTGTTTGATTTTTTTTATTGTTTTGATAGTAATTCTGACATTACAAGCCAAACAGGTAGACCTCTATACTTGCAATTTTTTCAAAGTTGACCTACCTTATCTTCATTGTACCATGGCCTACCTTCTCCTCATTGTACCATGGACCCTATATAGAATTGATGGAGCTATCTCGATGGAAAATCTGCCAGCGTACCATATCTTGAAAAGAAGATTTGGAGAAAGCTTTGTTGGAAGAATGGCAAAAAATTGAACAAAGCTTTTGCGAAAACCTTCCTAAAAAGAGTGCCAATAAAGCTACAAATGGTAAATATAAAATATTAATGTCTAGAAATACTTTAAATTATAAGAATTAAATTATAAATGTTTGTCTTTGGCATTGAAATATGATCTCTTTTAATATTTATTTATTTTTATACCCTCCACCTTGGAATTGAGGGTATATTATCTTTGTCATTCTATTTGTAACATCCCTAAATATTGGTCGTAGACCCCATAAAGTATATATATTCATAATCAGCATAAATCAGTATGTATGGGTACACGGTACCTCCCGATATTCGGCATTTTAATAGTTTTTGTCGCATTTTTTCACGGATTTGTTTAAAAATTGGTATTTGTGTGTCCTAATGGGTTCTAGCTTCGTTGGCGAAACAATGTATGTATAGGTTCACGTTTTTTGTATAGCCCCATATAGTGGTACCTCCCGATATTCGATATTTTGATGATCTTTGCCACATTTTCCCACGAATGTGTCTAAAAATTGGTATTTGTAGGCCATAATGTGTTCTAATGTTTCCTTTACCTTAAGGTGGAGGATATTAAAAGTCCGGCCCGGCCGAACTTAATGTTTTTTTGCTTGTTTTACTTTAAATGAATTAAAATGTTGAGTTTTTTTGCTTTTTAAATTACTTTCATATTGTACAATGTAAAAAAACACATTTTATTGGAAGTTATAAGAAAAATACATATTTTTCTTTAGCTGTACAAGTTTGGTTTGGAGCTACTAAATCTATTGCAAACTCCAAACATTAACGTTGAAACATTAGATTGAAAAATGCAACTAAACTTGCCAAATTACCGAAAATCGTAATGGAGACTTATGAAAACATGAACCAGCATAGGCAATTCATTGCCAAAGGAGATTGTACTCATTGCGAGCTCCAAATAGAAACTGAAAATGTTGAGAATCGAACCAATATTGTAATTTAGAATAAAATAATTGCTTTGGTATCACAATGTTTTTGTCAATTATGTATTCTCATTTTTCATTCAGTTCAGTAAACGAATTCAATTTAACAGGTTATGGGCTTTAGTCACATTTGAAAAAAAAAAATATTGTGAAAAGTAGATACATATTTTTTCATATTGAAAAATTGTGATTTTTCGAATAAAAAAAAATAGCTGCTAATAAAATAGCTTTTCGTCGTCGTTTGGGAGAGGTAAGCGTAATAGTATCTTGTTATTAAAGGATGCTGGATGGCCTGTATTGATAATGCGGCTGATGCTGATTTTAATGCGAGAGCTTTAGCCGAAATTACATTGATGATTGAACCAGACAACAATGGGCACATTGCAACTGCAACTACCGCAAAAAAACCATATAGTGCGTGGTTTAATACGTATAAAGATACGGGCCTCACCAGAAAATCGTAAACATCAAATTACAGAACTATAGATCAATTCAAGAATATGTCA